GAAAAAGTCTAACCTGAACAATTTTGGAGACATGATCTGGAGACAGGAGGTGTTTAGAAACTGGCAGGAATTCTCCCAGTTTTACCTAGGAAGCATATCACGAGGACTCTTCTTGACAAATCAGGTTCATCCTCACTATTTCTCAACAAAATAAGGCAAGATTATGTATAAGAACTCTGTGAAAAAAAGATATCCCTTCATGGATTGACAGTCAAAGCTCAAACAAAAGGAGAATGCAAAACTGAAAAACTTGTAACTTTTCCTTAAAGATTTACTTTTTAAGACTTTTTTWAAGATTTTTTAACATGATTTAAAACTTTAATTTATATAACTTTGTAACTTAAAATTACAAGAAAGGCAAATCTAAGACAAAGCTGCTACACAGCAGAGGAAGTATACCTTTGATAAAGATATTTTTTAGCTTCTGCTCAAAATGCAGCTCSTGTTTTGTCAACTTGCGTTATCACTAAATTGGTTTTAAGCTGCAAGTTCATTGCACAGCTAGAGAGAAGCATTGCAAATGCCTCTGTGCGAGCTGCTGACAAATACATCGCTCTGGAGCCTTCACAGCAACGTGAGCAGTGCTGCGCTCTGCTCTTCCACTTGTCCCCCAAAGCTGTTTCTTTAACATTTCTTGCACACTAAGTAGTCTGCYCTTCAGAGATGTGTTTGCTCTTTAACACCCTAAAAGAGTACTCGGTGAAAGGCGTTTTTCTTCCTCTAAATAGTAAGGCATTTTTGCTGCTTCTTGTGCTGGGCTTTCACTCTCTTTTCTGATGCTCTCATCTGATGTTTTTATTTTGACGATGCCATCCAACATTGCCAGATTCTTCAGAGATGACTTACTATTTTGGGAAAGTTGTTTGCTTCAGATCCCAAATATTAGATGATCTCCTGTAAATCCTTCTCTGATGATAATCATAATGGTCTGTTTATATTACATAATATCTCTATAAAAACTCCCATGCTTTATTGCTTCCTCTTAAGTCTCAATAGTCTTTGGAGTACTAAAATCTTTTAAAATAAGGCACTCTTGTGAAACCTTTTAAAGCTGATGCTGGTTATTTTGGTGTCTTCTTCAGTGCAGGTGAATGATTTATGAACCCTTTGGTTTCTCTGCACATTGTGTTCCTCAGCAAGCCAAGCTTCATTTTCCTACAGGGTTTACTATTCTGCCCTCCTGCAGCTGGGAAGGAGAAAAGTGCCCTCTGCATTCAGACCAGATGGAGAGCTATCCAGCCTCTGATCCATGGTCTCCCAGAGCCCCATGCAGTATTTCAACAGGGTCCACTAAAGACAGTTAATAAAAGCAAATCTATTGTCAGCAAGTTTCAATAGCTGCTAAGATCATCAACACCAGCACAGGGACATTGGAAGGATGCACAAGCAAGCCTGAAAAATACAGAGCAAAGCAAACCAGAAACCTTAAGAGAGCTATCTGTAGGATTTTTGTTGTTATTATTAAGGAAAATACTGCAACTAGTGTAACATAAGAGCAGCTTCAAAAATCACAGCGAGCCATACCAACCATGAACAAAGTTAGCTACCAGGACGTTAAGCCCCGRATGCAGGTTCACCTTGATTCCCACATCCCCATTGCCAACAATTAGTAAGAGTTTAAGCAATTTTGCTCATCCCTTTTTCCTACTTCATCCACAGTCCTTACCCTAGCATCCCAAGACATAAGTGACCTAAGTCATCACTGCCAAGGGTCCCACCGAAGCTGCATCTGTAGCTCTTTACAAGTCCGAACASAAGATCCAAAATGTTCTCCTAACAACTCAGTCATCCGAACAGGCAGTAGGTTGCCTATGACTTTGTCAGAAAACTTCAGTGTCAAAGTTTTTCGTACTGCGCAGACCAGAAATCACCAACATCTGGCTTGAAGTGTATAACAAGACACTAGGCTCTCACCTGGCCCATTTATACCCATTAAGGAGATTTGTCCACACTCGTCCAGGCAGTTCATCCTCTAAAGAACCCACAAACATGAATATTAAAACAAAACATTGCCCATTGCTTCCAATACATGATATTGTGATACCTCTTGTTTGCATGGTAGCTTTTGAAAAGGAATGGTCATGCCAAAAGAAAAGACTTCTGCTTAGACAGATTTTTTTTTATCATTACTAACCAGGTATCAAAATCAGAACCTGTTCTGGGAGCATGGACGCAATCTTGGATGTGCAGTGAACAAGAAAAAATGTCTGTATTCAAATTATTGTATCATTTAGTGATGAGGGCACCTTTACAGCACATGGGAGATGCGGATTTGAAAGCTGTGGAGTGAACTGACTGCAGGTCTCCTGCCTTCCAGGTATGTCCACCACTCAGTAGATTATCATGTAAAAAGTACTAGGGGCAGCAGCTAACTTTCAGAGAGATCTCCAGAAAGCTGTATTTTTAAACCCAGTTTTWAAATTATCTCTATCCAAAAGACAAAGAGGGCACCAAAGGGGCAGAAATCCCTCTCCCTCTTGAGCATTTCGTGAGCTGCTGTGGTGCAGCATGCAGATCCCCAGGGATCCTTGGATCCCAAAACACAAGAGAATGGTTGAGTGATGAACTCGAACAAATCAGCTTCAGGTCACTTCTCACTACAGATGTCTTATGTAGCTGTAAGCAAGTAAGTGAGGCCTGATTTTTTAAGAAATAGGGAGACTGGTGAGAATGAGTTAAGAATTTATTGGATTTTCAAAGCTTTATGTGACCAGGAGGTTGTTTTCCTCCTGACCTCTTCAGAGTTTACCTTGGTCTTAAGACTCAGCCTTTTTCCCTTGCAGTTTCAGTTCCCAATTTAGAAAACGGAGCACTTTTAGCAAAAAGCTTGGCAGTAGCATGAGCAACATCTTAAGAAGGTCTTAAAAAGCTCTTCCCTCTCTGGAATAGGTTTTTGTGTGGATAAAAACATCAAAAAGATGTTTTTTGCAAGACCTTGCAAGACCTTTATTGACACATCTGACCTTCTCAAAGAGACTTGTTCTAAGACACAGCAAATTTGTTGCTCTTACACAAATGTCCTACCTTTAAGAAGTTGCCCACCTCCTAGCTAGTTGTCCACTCATAATCCAGGGCACTTCTACTAGAGTTCATTCCTCTGTCCTCCTTCTTTGCCCCTGYTACTGGACTACTTTTCCCAAAATACATCGTAATGGTCCTTTTCATCAAGGGAAATCAAAAAAAAAACCCTATCAATTCCCTGATCATAGAGCCTTAAAGGAAACATTATCCAGTCATGAAGCCAGGCCAATAGTGTAATGTGATGCAAAGCACAAACTAAAGTTCCCAGGAGACATCATATTTTTGGCTAAACTTTTCTGGTTTTCAGCCAAAATATTTTGACAAAAGAACTAAGCTATCCTGGAAAACTGACACTTCTCTTAAAAAAATATTTGGTCAAAAGCCTTCCCATTTCAAATCTTTTCTGGTTCAAGATTTTTGGATCAGACCTAAAGCTAACTAAAACTGACTAAAATGAAGCATTCAAAATAATATAAAATGAGACTCAGAGTCATCAGAATAGCCCTCAACATAAAGTGYCATTTTTAAGTTACACGACAGATTAAATTGCCTCTACAATGCAGTTAGCTGCTCGCTGTGGAGCTACACTGTACCTAAATGCCATTTTGACTACAAATTTAATTCACATGTTCTCTTTATTGTAGGTCTGTTTAAAACAGCAATTTCATCTTAATGGATACAGYTAGGAATTTTCAGGAAGACAGTCTCTTAAAAGGAATAGTCAATGTGAAAGTGCTGCTTCATGGCTACAATATTGGCACACCTTATTTATGCTGCTACAGTCAGCAGAAGCACTAATGAAAAGGGTTTATGGATATTTCTAACACGGTGTCATAAAAGAAAATATGTTAATGTCATTCTGATAAATGAGAATTTTAAATCAGTATTTCTTTCACATGCTCTGATATCTATAACTTCCTAAATGATCACGCCTGTAAATGCAAAATGTTCAAATACGTAAGATCAGAAGTTTTAGCCACTGAGAGCAACATGCAGAAAGAAATTTGTTTCCTAGATTTCAAAATCTAGATTCCTAGATTTTGAAAATTTTTCAATAGGTGTCAAAGCTGGAGCATTTTCAGCCCAGCCCAGGTGCCAAATGCAGCGCGAAACGGTGCACTGCAGTTTGCAGCAGTTCTTGGGTTTTGCTACAAAACTGCCACTATTGAGCCCAGCACACACATATGGACACACAGAGGGACAAAGGGCAGCCCACGAGCCCTTCTTGAACYCCATTTCTTTCCTATCCCTTCTCTAAAAAGCAGGCACGTGGCCTTCCCATCAGTGCAGGATGGCTTACTCTCATATTCCTGATCAAGGACCTATTTGGACCAAGACTTTATCRTCTTTATTTATGTATCTTTAAATTTCTCTAAACATTCCTGTTTAGGGCAACTTCATTTGGTTTTCACTGTRTTTAATTACCCCCGCTATAATTCTTTACCCTTTGTGGATCTTCTGCCATCTGCCTCTCTTCTGCAATGTCATTTCTTCGCTCCCTGCTTTGCGGCCGTATTATGAGCCCACCTTTCCCGCAGAAAACAGCCCAGAAACCGAATCAGGGGAATGCAGAGAAGCGCTGAGCAGCTCCAGAATTAAGCTGAGATACTGATTATCTGTTAGTGGGAATTATAACCCATTAGTGATCTGCGGTGGGTTTCAGTGGTATGAAAATTAAAATCCATACACCGCTTTGCCCGTTCTCGCTCAAAGGAAAGCGCGTTCAGCAGCATCTGTGGAGCTGGGTACAAATCCCGCAGTGAACGGGGACCGTGTGCTCAGACCCACATGGGCTCCTCTGAGCAGAAAGGTCCAACATCGACTCCCAGAGCCAGAGAGCTCTTGTTTTCCAAGCCTCCCCTTACGATGCAGCAATTGCCAGTCACATTTTGCCGCTTACAAGACAGCCCCTTAAGAGACACCCAGATTTCCTTCTCCTTCAAGTTTCTGAGCAGCGAAAGTGAAAAAGTCTCTCTTACCTTATGGTCGCTGAGAAAATGGGAACTGCCGAACACGCTGAGCCTGCAGGGACACTGCACAGATGAACCTCATTGCTGCTGTTTACAGAAGTCTGACAGTTTTTAATTTGAAAAGAGGTTGCCTTTTGCTTTTCGACAGTTCAACAAATCAGACAAAACAGTTGCAAGTGTTATCTGTAAACAGCTTCCTGTTTGAAATAGATCAGCTGTCCTGCAGGACAATAATTAGGAAAGAAGTGTGGGAAAGCTGAAGAGGTCCATGATGTAAGCTTTTTATTTTGGGAATGTACTTTTTTGGGAATGCACTCTTGCTCTCCCCTCCTCCTCTCTAGCAGAGAACCCCTTTTTAACCATTTAGATCTACTCGGCTGCAAGCCGTGCACACACTCTGCCCGGGGAGAGCACGTTTCTTGCTTTGCTTTAATTGCAGCAGCCACTACAAAAACACCACGAGTGCAGCACTGAACGTGAGCCTCTTATGTGGGCAATAAACACACGCTTTCCTTACTGAAATTCTCTCCATTCTTGCAACTGGCTGCAGCATTCTTGACTCGCTGAGTAAAACACGCAGCTATTTCAGAGCTCCCAACACTCCACAATAGCATAAGTGCTAAATTATCCACATGACAGGGTGCTCCAARGCTGCCTTTTTTGGGGTTTTGTTTTTTTACCTTTTGACATCACTTTCTGTGTTGTCGGGAAGGGGAAAAGGAGGGGGACATTCGGACACCCTTCATTAGAGGCTCCAGTACAAAGCTGGTGTAGGATCGATGCGYCCTCCCCCAGCTCTTTCCTCTGCTTGTGCCACCGCTCCGCTCCCCCAGCCTGTCCCAGGACAGCGGCTGAGGGGTGGCACTGGGAACAGGCACTGGGGTCCGAACAGCGCCCAGGCACAGGGGATCACGGCTAGGAGAGCAGGGGGAGATGCCAGGTTCACCATCCAGGGCACCAGCACCTAAAAGCACTTGGATTGTGGGACCACAGAGAGCTGAAAGGGGTACTTTGGTTTGGTTTTATTTATTTATTTATTTATTTAGGTGCATGTTTTCTTTGTTAACCTTCTGAGCTGTTGTCAGCAGGGCACAGACCCCTCTCCTTTGAGGATTTCACCCTGCACCATAAGCAGCTGCCAGCGCTTGTTCCTTCCACCGCATCCCCCAGCCTCCATCCCACCACTCCACACACAGAGCGGTGCTGGAGCCTTCCAGGTTTGGGAAAGGTGCCGCCGACAAGGGCAACATCCTCAAGGAGAAGATCCATTGAACTAGGACGTGCCCGGGCACAGGGAAGGGGCAGACGCACAGCAGGCACTGGGCACGGAGCAGGACGCGCTGGTGACGATGAACACGAGGGAACCCCCCTAAATCAGGAGCAGAGTTTGGGCTCACGTGGGGGGCTCAGCAGCAGCAGGACGGGGTCCTGCAGRGGGTCCTGCTGGCGCCCTTTGCTAGCAGAGACCTTTGATGTAAAGAATGCAGCAAAGGGACTGCAGTCCAAGCCTTTGAAGATTGTATTACCCTGGCAAAGGCACCGTGCATTTACATAGATATCTTCTGGCCCTATATAAACACACAAATAACTGAGGCCAGAAAAGGGAATTCAGGGGAGAAATAGAACTATTTCAAAGGGATTTGGCAGAAAAGGTAGGATTAAACTCAGACTTAGCAAAGAGGAGCAACAACAGAGTTCAAAAAGTAGGGTTGGATGTTGTCGAAGCAGTGGAATTTTTTTCCCCTTTAAAAGGAGTTGATGAAAGAAACAAGTAGATCATTTTGGTTCACTGAGGAAGTGAGRAAAGGGGGACACTCCATGTGGAGATGGACACGAGCACCCTCTGCCCGTGCACAGAGCTGCCTGGAAGCTCCATGTCCCATCACTGAGCGCTTAAGGCTGAGCAGGAATGTGCAATTGAGGGCAGTGGGGCTCAGATTAAACAGGGGGCAGCTGCAATCAGCCCCCCTTCTAGCACATAGTAGGGACAGAAGATAGAGCAGCTGCTTGSGCTGGATCCGTGACCAAACGGACACCCAAACTTAAGCTCAGGTTCGGCACCACGCGGACACAACTGCATTTATGAGAGCTGGATGGAAACAGGCAATGCAGGCTCAAAAACGAACCAAAAAAAAACACGTAGAAAAATGCAAGCTGCTTGTGGAAAAGCAGGGACAACTTTGCTAACAGAAAACAGGAAAGAAGGCACTTGAAAAATATATTTTTAAGAGCCTTCAGGCAAATTCCTGTACTCTTTCCACTGTCAGTGGGCATTACCTCTATGCTCAAAGAGCACAATACCCATTTTAAAGTTCTGGCRCTAGGAAGAGATGAGGAGGCCTTAAAACCCACCTTGGTAGGGCAAARCATCCAGGCACCTTGACCGCAAATGAAGAACCCCCAAGACCCAAACTCATTAACTAAAACCCGAGCTCAGTTGTTGGAGCTCGGCCTACACTACAAATACTGCTCCAGCTCTTGAACAYGAGGGCTGTGTCACTCAGCTCCCCCGGGACCCCCGAGGAAGCAGAGGGGCCGCAGGCCCAGCCGGGCCTGGTCCCGCTCAGGGCTGCGGCCTGGGCAGCCGCTTGAGCCGGACTCTTGTCCCTGTGCTGTGACACCGTAAACGACGCGTCCCCTTTCCCGGGGCTCAACATAAGGACACGTCCCCTTTCCCTGCGCTTCACCTGACAGCAAAGGTTTAGCCAAGAAAATAGAAAACTCGGCTTAAAGGTCAAGATCGCTCTGGGGAAGATCAGCCTCTTACAGCTGTACTTGTGAGGATTTCCATACATACCTCAGTACATACAATATCTCCCATATTTTCACATATCCCATTAATGCATCCAAAGAGTATAGACAGCACCATTCTAGCTGTACGGATAKGAAGGTAAAAGACAAGTTTTCTTACTTTTTTGCAAGATGCATGATATGCATGGAAAGTTCAGCACAAAAACGGTAATGAAGAGTTTTAGTTACAGCTGTTTAAAATTTGACYTTGTTGCACTCATCTTTTTTGCTCACTTTTGCAATATTGCTGCCATGAGCAGCACGCTCATGGCACGTGCTCATGGCTCATGCTGCCATGACCTTTTTTTTGGTATTGCCCCATCTCTAAAATAGGAATATTCTGTTCAAAGACTGGCTCTGCATCTGGATTTGCTGCTCCAGAAGAGGCAGATCAAAACTGAGCCAGAAAAAAAAAATAGTCTAAATACAACTGAATAGAAGTTGCCAGATGCACTGAAAGGTTTATTGCACATTGTGTTACTCCATATCAACTGCCACATCAGCATCAGACAGGTCACGCACTGAGACTGGAGTCTCCTTCTCTGGAGATCTTCCAAACCCGCCTGGATGCCGCCCTGTGCTCCGGGTGTCCCTGCTGGAGCAGTGGGATTGGACTAGATGATCTCTAGAGGTCCCTTCCAACCTCAACCCTTCTGTGATTCTGTGAGGTCAGGTACTTACCATGCAGAAACTTCAAGTTCTCTCACACCAGAAATGCAACACACGCACACACCTATTGTAAGGGTCAGAAACAAGGAACAGCTTTCCTCATGGATCAAGAAAATAGGCATTTGTGAAAGAATTAATTTGGAGTAAGCGATGAAAGCTTTTGCATCGGGTGAAAGCCTCAAGAGCGTCTAGTAGGTGAAGAAAACCCTCTTTCTTCAGTGGGCTGGTAAAGGAGGTGTTTGGTCTTCCTCCACTCTTCAGCAGGCAAGGTTTCCCCACACTGCTGCTGCACAGGGTCCTGGCACAGAATATCTCAGYACTGTTTTCCTTTGTGAAACACAAAGAGCAGCTGATCAGCTCCCAGGGAATCACTCACTCCTTCAAAGAAGGCTTAAATGTGCCAGCAAATGAAAGCTGAGGTCTAGCCTCACSTCCTAGGGAGCCTGCTCTAGGTGAAGGTAACATTTGATACCGGTTATTCCAGCAGGCTCATTAGCACCTGACCAGATGGCATCGACTGACTATCCAGATTGCAGACACTCATTTGATTCGCTTGTCAAGGGACCGAGGGAGTTGTCTGACTGTATCAGTGACACCAACACACAAGGGGCCTGTGCATAAACTAGGACAAAGTCTTTCACCAAGCACAGTCTGGTATCTTTATACCACAAAATCTACATGTATGTGCAGCGTGGTAGGTATGGGAACAATAAATGGCTTTGTTACCTTTTCTCTCTCAGAATTCAGATGAAGCCCTCACAAGTCTTTGCATTTCATAGTTAAGAGCTCACAATAAGACCCAAGGAAAAAAGAATCATACATACACACACAGAGAACCAGCTGGCAACGCCTGGGAACATTCACAATTTTTACATTCAGTTTACCAGATACCTACCACTCCTCTCATTTTAGAGGGGAAGTTGATAYATCACTCCTACCAATTCATCCGTAGGCAATAAATGGCAGAAGAATCAAAGTTATACTCTGGAAACGGACRTCTAAAGCCGGAACAGAAAGGCCTCATGGTAGGCATATCTCTTCAAAGGTACAGCCCACTTTTTTTGTGCACTTCAATCATATCAGTAAATAGCAGCATGTTATTAAAACTAAGCTCATATGTTGCTTTAGTCTTTCTCTTTGCATCACCCGAACCAAAAGCAAAAGCCTACTGCTATCACCTGCCCTGTGCTCCTGAAGTAACAGCATTTCTTAAAAAGCTTCAGTCTTTCAAAGGCAAAAGCAATGCAGAACCTATTTCAACTTCTTAGCTCTTCAGAGCGGATGGTATCACACAGGAATTGACGAAAACTGCAGAAAACAGGAAGATATGGAAAGACTCTGAATAGAGTGGCCTTTGTCTCCCAACTACATCCACATAAGTTATTAAGAGCTGCTGGCTCTTACAAAATTAGCTCTCCAGCTAATAGGTCTTCTCTGTAATTAGCTACCTTTTTCTGTGTTAAATGCTAATCCAAAGTAACAAAATAGCCTGTTCAGCAGAGTGAAACAYTTCATTCATCTGCTCAGTATATTTACAAGGTTCAGTCCAGAAAGTCAAGCACTCCCACGAGCAGCGAAGAAAAAAGGCCACTTGGTGAAGGTGCTTCTCACCATTACCTAAGTTGAGGATGCTCGACCTTCAGGGCACTACTGCAGAATCCTTGGCAACTACMACGTACTCGGTCATTCCCCCCCTGCTCCACATCACACGGCAAGAATGCACTGAACTACATTAAAACACCCTCTAAAAACACCATTCC